TAACATACTTAAGTATGTACTTAACATACTTAAGTATGTACTTAACATACTTAAGTATGTACTTAACATACTTAAGTATGTACTTAACATACTTAAGCTTAAATACGAGGCTTAATTACGTATGTTAACAAGTATGCTAAGTAAGTACTTAAGGGAGTTTAAGTACGTCTCAAGTCACGTAATTAAACTCAAGTATGTTAAGTACGTACTTAAGGGTAATTAGATTCTACGAACGAACGAACAAACGAACATGTTCGTAAATTCTACGAACGAACGAACGAACAAACGAACAAACGAACATGTTCGTAGATTCTACGAACGAACGAACGAACGAACATGTTCGTAAATTCTACGAACGAACGAACGAACAAACGAACATGTTCGCATACGAACGAACGAACGAGCGCTCGTTGACCGCTCTGCCCCTGGGGCAGATGGAGATATGAATGTATTTTCACGATCCACACTGGGCAGAGACATTTTTGAAAACAGCCAAAATCTAAATTTGCCTGAAGACTGCAATATAAATGGCGAAAAAATGCCGTTCTTTTTTGTTGCTGATGACGCGTTTCCATTATCACCACGCATAATGAAACCGTACGGTGGCACACTCAAAGACGACGAAAGGATTTTCAACTATCGTCTCAGTTGCGCCAGACGAACTATTGAAAATGCCTTTGGTATAATGACGATGCGTTGGAGTTGTTTAACATCGGAATTTCTGTGTCAACCGGATAAAGTAAAAGTAATTGTTGGTGCTTGCTGTGCACTGCATAACTTTTTGGCTAAACGAAGTCCAACGTATGTACAAGTTGCAGATCGTTACGATAATCATGGTAATTTGATCGAAGGTGAATGGCGACGGACGCAAGGAATGGGTCAAATTAATCTAGTGAGAAGAGGTCGTCCATCCACTGCGGGAAACACGATTCGAGACCGACTTAAACATTTCTTCAATAATATAAACATTTTATCGTATCAATTTGATCGATTACATTTTGCTCCAAACCACAATTCAAATGCTCAGTCAACAAATTAAATCAAAAGAATATATTGCGTTGAATTTGTTTCACACATTCATTTCATTGTGTCCGAAGAAAAAAAATAAATTACACTATTGCAATCGCAACAGCTGATTTCGTAGATTCAACTTTTTTTCTCCTTTGGTAAACATTTTTTCCTCACAGAACCGAATACAGTGCACACTTTTGAATTGTTTGTGTATAAAGAATGAAGCAAAATTTTATAGCGAATGATAATTCTGTACGGTAAGTAAATAAAATGTTAGACTATTTATTGGAATGTGTATTGTGTATATAATTTCATTTAAACGCTAGAAACGAATTCGAACAAATCAAATCAAAACACACAGAGAAACCGAGTCAAAAAAAAACTTTGGTTCAAGAGAAAGTGAAAAATGTGTTCCAAAAGTGATTGAGCTTCAGGGCGTTCATAATCGATTTGTTAGCGCAAACCAAATGACTCACGACAAAGCTGAAAATGCATTTTTTTTTTCAACGTAAGAGACGAAACGGAATAAAACCAAACATTTATTTCAATAAACAAATGTTCTCTCTGTCTTGCCGTTTATCCAAAATTTTGCATTATCAGCAATCTCATGCTTCATTTTTAAGTATATATAGTTCAATAAGCAGCATCGATCGCGACAAAAATGAACAGTTGGGATTTAGTCTTAGAGTTGAACTCAAACCGAAAACGTCTGTCGTGAATTTTTCTGAAAAGAAATTGTCCCAATATAACGAAGTGAATAAATTGATCAGTGACACTGACAGAGCAATGGCATCTGATTTAACTCCCGAAGAGCTAAAAATTGCAGAAGAAAATCTTCTCCAAGCGGCATTTGAATCGATTGGTACTAGGAAACGTCGCCAAGACGCAAGCTCCATTGCCGATTTGCCTGTGGTGGAATGTGAATCATTGGAAGGCTCAAGTGGGAAGAAGAAGAAGAAGAAGGAACGGACCACCAAAAAAGATCAAGAATTTATTGCCAAAGTGGCCGTATGCGAAGAAGTTCGTAGCTACCCGCAATTATATCAAATATCCCATAAGCAATACCACGATAAAGAAGTAAAAGATGCAGTTTGGAAATTGGTTAGCGAAGGTGTTACTAATAGGATCGGGTCGCCAGTTACTGTTACTGAATGCAAGAAGTTTTGGACCGCATTGAAAGAGTCCACGCGGTAAACATTTTTTGAAAGAAAAATTCGTTGAACAGATCCCTTATTTTTTCATATCATACTATATGATATTTAATTTGTTTTACTCAATACAAATAGGATCTATGTTGATAAGAATAAGGTGGCAAAAATTCGTGAAAAATCCGGCGCTCCATCCGATTTACTTGATCTCTACCAAAGTGATGGATCACAGAAGTTCGATGTTTATGAAAGCCGTTGGCCGTTTGCCGATCATATGGCATTTTTTCTCCCAGCTTGTGCACGTACTGCCTTCACTGTGTCAATTGGAAATTCAAACTCTGAAACGAATTTGAAGGACCCAACAAATCAATCGGATGGAACTTTTGTATACGAAGAGGTCGAATTTTTGAATACTGAAGTATGAAATATATCGCATTGAATATTTTTTTAATTTATTAACTAAAATGTGCCATTCGACCGTTTGCATTTCACAGGACGGTTCACAAAGTGCGGCTCAGCCAAGCTCGACCGCAACAAGTTTTTTCACGCCTGTTAAAGGCCGTAGCAATAAATCGCAAAGAGACGTTGTTTACGACGAGACACTGATTTCAGTTGCATCATCACTTAATAAGTTGGTTGACTCACACAGTGTTGCTGATAAGGGACTGAAGTACAAAGAATTTCA